ACTTGCCCCTGTGCGTCCTGAGCGGGCGGTGACTGACTGCACAGCCTGCCGCGGCAGGTGCTCCAACATCTGGAGCCTCGGCCTGCTGGCAGCAGCGCAGCGCCCCCTTCCCTTCCCCCCCTCCCGCGGGCTTGAACCTGGGGAGAGCGCCGAGAGCTGGGGAGCGAGGCAAAGCACGCTTACGAGAGGGACGGGTCTGTGGTAGTGTAAACATGCCACTGCCTGCCGGCTACTTAGGGATTTGATGAGTGCAGTTGGGAGGCAGGAGTGAAAAGCAGGCCTTACTTGAAATCTGGACAGGCTTGTCAGTAGTGGCATTGCTTGGGAATGGAGTGGAATTATACAGGGGCCTGTGGTGTTTGGTGCCTACAGAAATCTTTGCTCCTATGGTCAAGTGGTCTAAATCAGGGCTGTCCAATTAGTGGATATGCCTGCAGGCTGTGAGTGATTAATTAGCAGCCCCCAAGCTTCTGCCAAGCACCCCTTCCTTCCCCTCCCCCCATCATTCTGACTGCAGCAGCATCCAGAGTCTCCAAGATCCTTCTCCCTCCTTAGGCTTCTGCTGTGTACATCACAGCACAGCCCACTTGCTGAGGGAGCCTGTGGCCCAGCGTACCCAAATGCTGTGCAATGAGGGAGCCTATGGCAGAGGGCTGGGATGGGGCCCCCACTGCACGGTAGGGGGTAGCCATGCAACATGTGGTCCCACTGGTGCATCCTGGACAGTGTGCAGCCCCCAGTCCCTTATAAGTTAGACAGCCCTGGTCTGAATTATTTAAGTCTGATATACTGATCTTCAGAATTTATTGGAGACTCAAAACTGCTTTGACCTCTTTTTCTTTAGGGTGCTCCCCTTCCCACCACACAATTAGAACAATATTTTGAAACACAAATAATTTTACTTAATATTTTGTATCTTAAGTGGGCATTTTAGAAATTATTTGTTTATTGTAAATAGTCAAATACTGTTTCCCATCTGCAGATGGGTGGGGGGAGTCCTGTGCTGGCTTCCTAATGATAAAATAAAGAGGACACATTTAACTTTTAACATACAAAGCTACTTTTTGTAAAAATCTAATACGATTTTGCTGTATATACAAAATGACAATCTAGTATACCAACAAAAAATGTAATGTTCTATCACTTTAAAAAACGAAAGAATTCTTCCTGATGCTTACAGATCTGTGACTTTGGGATTTTATTCTCATATTATTAATACTGAATATGGCCTACATTGTGGTTCCATGGGGGAACTAATATGTTCTTGGGGTTGCAGGAGACACTAGGCAGTAAATTAAGGGGTATTTTCTTGGTTTAGTATGAAGCTGTAAAGAGCCAAATATTTCTTAAAACTACCTTTCAATCTGGTTTTATATTCTACACTGCACGCTTTGTGGCCAGGGCAGCTCTATCTTACTGATTCTTGCATTCTTTCTGAATAGCACTAAATTGTGGATATATGTGCATAAGTAATTCTAACTGTTAATGCATTTTTCCCCATAGGACTACAAGGGTCAAAAACTAGCAGAACAGATTTTTCAAGGAATCATTCTCGTCTCTGCAGTAAGTATAGTGGAACCATGGCAGGTGACACACAAGTATATAAGACACCTTCTAAAAATAAATCAGATTTGGATCTGACTTTTTTCTTCAAGCAGGTGTTTTGAAGCTTGAAACAAAGCAGACAAGATGTCTTAAGTCTTTAAATGTTCTTAAGTCTTTAAATGAGACTTAGGAAAACCAATGGTTTGAAAAAACAGATAGGGTTTGTTCAGAATAGATTTAAACTTTGTTTAAATTGTGTGGAAGACTGGTTCTGAATCTGGAGTTCCAAATTAATTCAAAGTCTAATTCCTTTACCCTGAAGAGAGTTCAATTTAGCTTAGCAAAATGAAAGAGAAGAGGGGAATATGTTCACTCTACAGATACTTGGGTAAGCAGCGGAGGGAGAAAAACTAAGCTTGAGTACAGTGTTGGCGCAAGAACAAAAGGGAATAAAATAATATCATTTAGATTAGTAATAAGGTTTCTAGCCATTAAGAGGAGGGAGTGAGACTGGAATATTTATTAATGGGTTTCTTGATCTACCACTGCTAACTGGAGCATGCTCAAACTACTGAAATGATTTTGTTACATAGTTGCTTTTGAAAGTGAAGGACTGGACTTTGACTAACAGATGGGTCTTTTCAGTCTCCACACTTCATTCTCAAATAGCAGTGCTAATTATTGACATTTTAGTAATATGTCTAATTGCTATGAGTTAGTTTTGGTTGTAGCTCCTGAAGCTTACAAGAACCATTTTTGTTGGCTAAAATGATACCCAGAATAAAATAGTATTCATGATGTAGGTAAAGCCTTGAAATATTTGGTGACGTGTTCCACCGATTTGACCAGGCTTTTACAGTCTAAGCTCTGAAGTGGAGTCGCATCTTACGCGGGGGTTAGGGTCTGAAGTCAGCATGTAAGGCGAAAATCGGTGACTATACGCAGGGTGGGAGGGGGGGGTGGGGCTTGAGTTTGCATGTGGCGCTGCGCTTAGAGATGCACGGCCGGTGGCAGCGGCGCAGCACGGGGTGGTGGTGGGGATGGCTGCGTGCTGCCCGGCCACCACCACACTGCACCGGCCACACAGCTCTGGGCACGGCTCCATGGCGACAGCGGGAGGTTTTGGAGGCAGTGGTTGTCACTGTGATAATGGGCCTCCAGGTAAGCGGCAGCGCCGTGTGCAAACTCAGGCCGCCCTCCCCACCCCACACCTGCGTATAGTTGAATTCATGTAAGTTAAATGTGCATATGATGCGACTGACCTGTATAACATTTTCTCGCATAGAACTCCTTGTCTTGTGTATAACTGTAAACTGCATCAGACTGCTGGAGGGCCTGGTGGCAAAGTGGTGGGGCTGCCCATGATGGGGATAGCTCCTGTAAAATACCACAATGTTGCAACCTCCAGAGAAAGGTGAGTATAGGGTGCCTAGCCTGCACTGCCTTGTGGGCATGCCTTGGTTCAAGACAGGCTAAGGAATATCACCTTGACAGTAATGTACCCTTGCTGAGGCATTAGGCAGTCAGCAGCAGCTTTTATGTGTTGCTCTCTGGTAGAAGCTACAACCATTGTGGCACTGAATGTCTGGACTTGGTTTGGCTTTTGGACTCTGTCTCATTGATCCAAAGGGGGGGGGGTGGTAGGTCTTGTACACCTAGGCAAAAATATGGTGGAATTGAGGCTGTCCATGTCGAAAGTTTTGGTGTAATAGTTACAAGACTCCATACAAACAGATTCATCAGGCATCTAACTAGACCTATCTATATACTGGGATCCAGAGTTGCTCTGTAAATATCCAGTTGCCCTGTTGCCTGCTCACATAGAACCTACACCTTTTTCCACCTCTCCCCCCAAACAAGTGGCTGAAAATCTGGGTGCATACTGTATGTGAGGAAATATGTAATAGCAGTTAGCTGCCAGCCAAGGCAGAGAGCAGTGAGTAAGGCAGTAGCTCTAGGAATCCCTTGGGGAACCCACAACCACAGGGTAGTTGCAGGGATTTGTCCTTGGCTGGCTCACATACAGCAGCCCTGGTCAGAGCAGACAGCCTATCCTTGGCTGGGCTGTCACCTGGCCTGTGGCAGCTCCAGTCACAGAACAGGTAGCCTGTCCCTAGCAGAGCTGTTTCTGGCTCACAGCAACTCTGAGAGAGCAGGCAGTCTGTATCTGGCTGCTGCTGGTTCATAGAAGCCCCAAGCAGAGCAGGCAGCCTGTTCTGCAGGAGCAGCTGGCAGACAGCAACATTGCTCTAAGACAGCTTGATTAGTGGAACATCAAGAAAACATTAAAAATGAAACTTGTTAACACCTCCTCTGAAGAACAAGAAGAACTGACTCCCTCAGGTGCCTGAAGAGTAATGCCACAGCTGCTGTACTGTGGAGCAGGAATCAGCAGGATGCTTCCCTCCCAGTCAGAAAAGCAGCTTCCTCACTTGGGGGGCTGATGCTGGGGGAGGGGGGAAAGATGCATGTTGTATGCAAGAAAATATGGTATACAGATACATTATACAAAACTTCATTGGTTAAACGGTCTTTGTGATCTTAAAATGAAGACTGCATGTGCTGACCTTGATTTGCCTCTTCCTTTAAAAAAAAAAAAGGGGGGGGGGCAGGGATTCCAACATGAGTAGAAAGGCTAAGTGTGTTTTGTGCAATGTGAGTTCTTTTAATAGAAAATGTCATTGATATATGTAAAATGTGTTTAAAATTTCTTACATTTGTAGGCAAATCTTTTAAAATGCCCAGCATTGAAAATATATAAACAGTGGAACTATTAAATCCTCTGAAATAGGAAGTTAGTTTTCTAATCTCCACAAATTAAGATTTAGAGATCTAGTTAATATTGTCCACTCTCTCCCTTTCAAAAAATACAGAAACTCAGTAACCTAGCTAAATAGCACATAGACAGCCTGGATTCCTGGCCAACATTAGTTTGCAGACCCAAACCTGTATCAACTAATTCTCTTTAGAAAAACAGTACTACTTCACATCATTTCCCCCATATTTCATTTATGATAACTACAGACTCCTTTTCAGGCAATGCCTTTTTTCCATACTGGCTAGAAACTAATTCACCAAAAAGCAGTTTCCTTTCCTTACAAGAAACTAAAATAAATAGCAAAATTGTCCTCATTTGACACACACTGTCCATGCAAACACTACTTCACTGTTTACAAGTTTATTTCCCAGGTTGTACATGTTGCCCAGTTTCCTATTGCATTCATGAAATGATAATTTTACTTTTTATAAATACACTTGGCAACAGATAGTGGGTATTCATGGTTTTAGAACAGAATGGGAAATATTTAGAATGAGGTTTATGCAGAAGTGTTTGCAAGTGTCCTGACTTGCTAATATTCAGTACTTTTTTAAAATCTTGCATTTTCATTTTTTGTGCCTGTGATCACTTCCAGTATTAATCTCTTTTGTTCAGGAAATGACTTTTGAAGTTTTAACTATTTTTTTCTCTAGGTAATTGGCTTTATCTATGGTTACATCACTGAACAATTTGGTTGGACTGTTTACATAGTTATGGTTGGATTTGCTTTATCTTGTCTGGTAAGAATTTATTTCTACTTTGAGTACCATTGTCAGAAAATGCATTAATGAAATACTAAAAACTGTTCCTCAGTTGAAATGGTGCTTTTAGATAGGGGATTTTAAGTAGTGACTAGAGGAGCAGAAGGTACGTAGATACAATACAAATGTCACAATATACTTGAAACCTAACCCACCGAACGAATGCTTTATTCTTTTTGGTTTGTAGCTTCTCTTACCTTAGCCTTGTTTCTTGTTTTTTAAGAGAAGTCTAAGTATCTCTTGAAAAGATTATACTAGAGTTTGTTGCCATTAAACTCTTATAAACTAAACCTTCAGTCTGGATCTAGCCTGCAGCAACATGTGATAAAGTGTGAGGGGTAAGGGGAAAGGAGAGAATCAGTAGTATACTCTGGAGGTATTTTCTGCTCTGTGCTGTGCATTCCTCTACTGCGTGCCACTAACCCCCTCCCCAATGCCCCAGTCCTCTTCATTCTGTGCCCTGTACCCTCTTACTCCAGCCTCCACTTACACTTGTCACCAAACTCGCTGCTCTCCATTGTCGTTGGCCACAAGAACTGGCAGCAGTATTGGGTGTACAGAACAGGGAGGGATGGAATGCCATGGCCCTTGCTTGTGAAAAATGTTAATATCTGGTCAGATTTCAGTGGGGTTTTTGGCCATTTTTGTTTCAGCAGACCCTTGTTTTACATATCAGTAAAAACCAAGGCATGACTTTGTTGAGAGAAATCTCTGCCTAATCTGCATATTCACAGAGCAAATTTTTCACAAATGGACTTTGAAACCCAGGGAAACCCCACCATCCTTTACCACCTCCCCAGTGCAAGATGAAGTTTCTTTTCTACCTGGGAGATCTTTTACAATCTTTGAATTCTCCTTTGCCTGACAAAGGGTGTTTAGACCTGAAAGCTTGCAAAGAGACACTTTTTTTTGCTGCTATATAGTTGGTCTAATAAAAGATCGTCTCTACCCCAAGTGTTTTCTCTACCTTAACCTGTAGAATTTTTTTATTATAAGAGAACTATAAATTGTGTATAGCATTTGGTTGGGTTTCTGGTTTGTTCACAATTTGTCTTTTCATTTAAGTTAACACTTCCTCCATGGCCTATGTATCGTCGCAGTCCTCTAAAATGGCTACCTGTCCAGGAATCGGGACCAGAAGATAAGAAGCCAGTAGACAGAAAACCAAAAAGGCATCCTAAATAATATGAACCTTGATGATGTAACAATGCAGTAGTTTTCTTCATTAAACATGTCTAAGAAATTCTTGTTTTGATATCCTTTCTTGCTTGGTGCTTTTTTAACCTGTTTATATGCTTCCATCACTCTACTGGAGCCTACCCTGCCTGGGATGATCTAGTTGGGGATGGTCCTGTTTTGAGTAGGGGGTTGGACTAGATAACCTTCTGAGATCCCTTCCAACCCTAATTTTCTATGACTTCTACCTCAAGGAACACTAAGTTTGATGTTAAGAGAAACACACACATCACTTCTGGTTACGTTTTTAATAATCTCCCTGGAGAATGAAATGGGGGAGGAGGTAAGTGGGGTTTCAATCTGAAGTACATTTCAGGTTTCTCTTAAAGCAGGGGTGGGCAATTATTTTGGCTGGAGGACCACTTAACAAGTTTTGGCAAGCTGTCAAGGGCTGCACATGCACAGTCTTCCAGGATATATTTTAGCAAAACTTGAATTAAAAAAACAAATCCTTAACTAAAAATCATACATCTTCTATAACATTTTAATTTTATTTCAAAAAATAACTTTTGTCCCAATTTAGTTTGAGTAGCTTATGTAGAGGCAATTGCATAATAGCTCAAAATAGCCTCACTCTGGATGTGCAAGGGGCTGCCTGCACACTAGGTCACTGATCATTAATCTCTACTTGTTGCAGTCTTTTGCATCCTCTGATTGAATGTTCAGATCTTGCATATCTTTTCTGATATAGTCCTTTTCACTGCAGTCTTGGCTGTCTTGTTGCCTTGCTGTCAGTTGGGGTCATATTCTCACATAGTAGTCTCCTGGTCCTGCCTCATACACTTTTAGCTAGCTTGAGGTTTTGCTGTATCCCAATGTTGTCATTTCTCACCTTATCTTTCAGATTGACTTTCAGAATCTGTTTCAACGTGCCCATCTCTACTCTTACCAGTACAATAGAAAATGGAACATTTATATTCAGATAGTTCACAACCCACTTAATTCACAGTGATGTACCAAATTAAGAATCAGATGCTCAGCTGCCTGCTGCAGCTTTCTATCAAAGTGCTTCTCCATTTAGATGGTGCTAATTAGCAGTTCTACCCAGCTGTTTGCTCTGGCTCTGTATACCTCCAGATACTTTGTAAATCCTTCCCTTTACCAGGGTGTGTAGATGTGCATGTGTTTCTCAGTGCCTGCTCCCCTCCACACTTTTTTAGTATCTGGATTCTACTGCATTTCTTCCTTCTCACAGTTCAGAATCCTGCCACATCTCATCACTGATTTTATAACTATCGTGTACAAGCTGACTTTCAGTCTCATTGCATCTTTTTATTACCAACAGTCCCAAACACTTCTCTCCATTTTTTTTTCCAGTTACAGCAGAAAAAACGGTCAGGTTGAGGCCAATGGTCATCGTTTGTAGGTCAGTAGACTTTTTTCAGCAGTGGCAGAAGTGGATGCTATAGGAGGAGAAAGCAGTGAGTACTGGATATCTTTAGAGCGACCTGTTCCCTACCCAGTGGTTCCCAACCCTTTTTTTTCTGTGACCTGTTGCTGGGAGCAGAGGGCGGCGGTGGCCCGGGGGTGGGGGAGCTCCTGGCATGGCTTGTCTTGTGTGTGCTGCTGCCGGCATTGCCCCTGCGACCTTCCTTTGGGTCCGTGACCCAGGGTTGGGAACTGCTGCCCTATACAGTACCCTCCCTAGCATCTACCACTGTTGGTTTAGAGATACAAGATGAATCATCTCCAACCATTCTGTTCAATAGCCATCAACAGACCTATCATCCTTGAATTAATCTCTCTTTTTGAATATGGTTGCATTATCTGCCTCTACCACCTCGTGTGGCAACAAATTCCACAAGTTGACTATGCATTGTGTAAAAAAAGTATTTTCTCTTGTTAGGTTTAAACCTGTCTCCTGCTAACTTCAGTAGGTGCCCTCTAGTTCTAATATTCTAAGACCTGACAAACAATAGTTGTCTACAACCTTCATGATTTTATAGATCTCTTTCATATCCTTCCTTCAGACTTCTGTTTTCCAAACTGAAGTTCCTAGCCTTTTTTAGTCTCTTCTGGTATGGGAAATGCTCCATGCCCCTTATTTTGATTACCCTCCTCTGTACCTTTTCTAATTCTACTGCATCCTTTTTGAGATGTGGGGACCAGAAGTACACAGTTTTCAAGATGTGAGCACACCATAGATTTGTATAATGGCATGATGATGTTCTCCATTTTGTTTTTAATTCCATTCTTATGATGCCCAACATTGTACTGGCTTTTCTTGGTCACTGCTGCACACTGAGGTGACAGTTTTAGAGAACTGTCTACAATGACACCAAGGTTTCTTTCCTGAGTCATAACAGGTAGTTCAGAACCCAGCATTTTGTATAAGTTGAAGTTATTTATCTCCATGTGCATTATCTTGCACTTGTTGACATTGAAGTTCATCTGTCATTTTATTTATTTATTTTTTGCCTAATCACTTGGCTTAGTGAGATCTTTCTGTAGCTTTCCTCCATCAGCCTTGGACTTGATTATCTGGCATAATTTGGTATCACCTGCAAACTTGCAGATTTCACTGTGTGCCCATATCCAGGTCATGGATCATCTTCTCTTCTATGCTTCATTTCCCCCCTCTACACACAAATGTGGCGGAGCCACACAACTGATTTATCATAGACTCTTGCCAGATCCTCATCCTGGGTGCGTGGGTGTGCTGCACATGTGAGGAGGTGGTCAGCAGTCTGTGGTGCATCATTGCAGAACATTGAAAGTGTTGAACAAAACTGGGCCCAGCATAGATCCTTGTGGGACCCTATTTTTGACCTCCCTTAATTAGCCCAACAGTTTGAAGTAGTAGTTTTATGTCAGTAAAATATATAAGTACCCAAATTGGAATTGAGCAAGTTGTCACCTCTACTTCTACAAAAAGTTCTGTGTGTAGCATGTACTCTGCCAACCAAGCATCCTTTGCTATACTGAACACAATTTTGCTCTTTTTAGTTTAGGCATCAATTATAAGCAGTATCATTCTTCAGCATTTCTCCACATAAATAAGTCATAAATAGTTACATAGGACAATTTTTTTTTCTGAAAATGGAAAGGAAACAGGACATTTTTCAAAATGATACATTTATTTTAGAAAATTCAGATTATCTAATTATTCCTCAAAAATAATTTACAAGCCTCCAAAACACAAATGCAACATGTTCTAGCATCACACACTTATATATAACAAAAATATTAAAAAAAAAAAACTTGTAACAAGGCAGGTTGGCAGATGAGAGGACATCAAATACACAAACTATTTTAATGTGCCTAGTTTTTATAATTTTTTCACTAAAAGGAATAAATACTGAAATTTGTTTTCCTTGGGAGAGAAGTTAGAGCCTGGACTCTAAAAAAAAAAATCAGGAGTTGAGTCTGTGGAGTGTGCCTATTTTATTTTATATTTTTTTAATACTGTAGCATATAGACATAACTTGACAGTGTTCTGAAATTAATTTTATAGCTACAGAAATCATAAATCAGCTGTCCACTAAAGCTGTGCAAAGCTTCAGACCATAATTCGGATTCGGAGATGCTATGGAGGCTGAATCTACGAATCTGAATTGAACTGCTGGAAGCTTTAGGCTTTTTTAATCGATTCGGAGTTTCTGAATCGATTCGGCCATAGGGTATAACGAGGAATCAATGAAATATCTATAACTTTGTTGTCTTTTGGCTGATTCAGGTGAAACCTGCGGGGATGGTAGCTTCTGCTGAGAGCATGACGCATGCCAAGTTTCAAGGCGATAGGTGCAGGGGTTTTTGGGAAACTGCACCTCAAAGTTCTGAAAGCAAAACCTTCTGTGTGTGTGTGTGTGTGTGTGTGTGTGTGTGTGTGTGTGTGTGTGTTAAGCCACATGGGGGTGAAAACTGTAGGGATGGTAGCTCTTGCTGAGGCCAAAGAGCCTGCCAAGTTTCAAGGAGATCGGTGCAGGGGTTTGGGGGAAACTGCACCTCAAGCTGCAGACAAGCTAAACTCGTGACATGGGTGACACTGTGTGTTAAAGCGCAGCAGGGTGAAAGCTGCAGGCCTGCTAGCCCCTGCTGAGGCCATGAAGCTTGCCAGCTGTTAAGGAGATAAGTGCAGGGGCTTCTGGGTTCTGGGGCCCTGCACCTCTAGCTGCTGACAGGCAAAACTAGTGATATGGGTGCTTGTGCAACTGTCTCTCTCTTGGGGCACGGGAGTGGGGGAACCGGGACGGGATGGGACACAATACTACTGCAGGCCTGGCTGCTAAGCTACTGTGTTACCAATCAATCATGATTCACTCAGGGAACAGCTCAATACACAGTAGCTAGCTACTAGATAATGAGTTAACGAGCAAGGATTAACACCTACAAAACCACAGGCTAAGGAGAGGAAAGAATCAATACAGAGCCAGGAACTGCTTCTGCCAGAAGACAGTCAGTTGCACAAGCACCCATGTCATGAGTTTTGCCTGTCAGCAGCTAGGGGTGCAGGGCCCCAGAATCCCCCTGTACCTATCTCTGTAACAGCTGGCAGGCTTCCTGGCCTCAGCAGGTGCTAGCAGGCCTGCAGCTTTCACCCTGCTGCGCCTTAACACACACAGTGTCACCCAGGTCACGAGTTTTGCTTGTCCACAGCTTGAGGTACAATTTCCCCCAAACCCCTACACCTTGAAACTTGGCAGGTTTGGTGGCCTCAGCAGGGGTTACCATCCCTGCAGTTTTCATCCCCCTGTGCCTTAACACACACACACCGTCACCTATGTCATGTTTTGCTTTCAGGAATTTGAGGTGCAGTTTCCCAGAAACCCCTGCACCTATCACTTTGAAACTTGGCACGTGTCATGCTCGCAGCAGAGGCTACCATCCCTGCAAGTTTCATTTGAATCAGCCAAAAGACAACAACGTTATAGATATTTCATTGATTCCCCATTATACTCTATGGCTGAATCTCTGAATCGGCTCTGAATCTTCCGAAGCAATTCGGCCAAATTGAATTGGAAATATGTTTTGGATCTCTGAATCAAATCTCTGGCATCCAAATCGAATAGTTCCCTATTCACACAGGCCTACTGTTCATACCATATTGAATTTTTTCATCTAAAACTTTCAGAAGTATTTACATGTATTGGTATGTACTACACAACATTCTATACTGGCAGTACCACCGTGTAGCTTCACCTACGTAGTCAATTGGTGTGGTTTAGTTCTGTAAGAAATTTAAACTAAACCCCCCCCCCCCCTAAAAAACACTTCCATCTAGTTAAAATATTTTACACAGAGAATTTAGTACATGCACTGTTTCTGGGAACATTTTCATATTTATAAAAATCATTCTGTAAAGTATAAGGAAACTTTAATTAAAAAATAAATCCAAATTTATAACAACTCTCTCTCTTCTGTAGAGAATGTAATGGCCAGTTTCACAGTATTAAGAGCAATATGACTATTACTAGTGCTATACACTGTCCAGTTCATCTCCTTACCAAGAAAAGGAAAGTCTAAGGATAAAAACAAGTATCATAACTATAAGTTAGTCTGGATCATTAGTATCCTACACTGCCTACCCAACACTTTCAAACTAGATCATCTTTTCTCTAAAAAAACTACAAAAAACATTCACCTGGTCAAAATTTTACATTATCTTCAAGAAACTTCAGATGGCGAGCCTTCACACTGTAATTGGTATACTTCTCTCCCATGTGCTCCCGCAACTGTAACTAGAACAAAAGCAGTATAAGTCTGTTGTTTTAATTTACTTCCCCTTTAGTCCCCCCACACACATGCTGCTCCTGAGAAAATTTACATTGAGGATGCCATTCAGTCTGTTTGGCTGAAAGGGAAGAAGATTAAATGAAACATAAAAGTGGTCTTAGCTGAAACTAAGGACTATTTAAAAATGATCTGGGTTGAAAATTTTAGAAGCAAGAGATGTGCTATATATAGAGCAGTACACAAGCTTTTTTGTTAGCTTATCTACGCAGCACTTCAGTTGTAATCAAGTTTTGCATGCAAACAACTGGAAATCTGTTTATCATTTATCTATCCCAGGGATGTCACACATCTGGCCCTGTGGGCCCACAAACCAACTCCATGTGCCAAATCCGACGTGCAATGCTAGTCTGGTATGGGTGCTACATGCAGTGCACAACCCAGACCAACCCTTAATGCTGCTTGCAGTGCATGTGCTGGCTTCAGCACCACACACTGGTCCCAGCTACTGCATATGGGGTGGGTCCAGGGCATTTCCACTACATGTGGCACCCATACCAACTCAGCTCCGTGTGCTGGATCCAGCATTTGGGGCCAATCTGTGGGCTGGGATCCAGCATGCAGGACCAGCATGAGTACCACATGCAGCTCACACCCTGGACCAGCCCTGGATACAGTCCGTGCCAGACCAGCTCTAAATGCTATGTGCAACACGTGCCAAGCACAGCTCCATGCATCATGTGCACAGGGCCAGTTTGGGGTGCAAACTGTGCCTAACCAGCCCTGCACACTGGATCTAGTACGTGCAGCCAGTCTGTAGGCCTGATCTAGACTAGCTCTGGATCTAGCATTCAAAGCTGGGCCATTACAGGCACCACATATATTGCAAGCCCTGGACTAGCCTCATTCACCTCAGACTGGCCCCATGTATTATGTGTAGCATGTGCACTGGCTTCAGCCCCTGTGCCAGATCAGTTCTGCATGCAGCATGAGGGCATAGTCTAAGACTCAAAGGCAGTACTACGGGCCAGATGGTAGGGCTCGGTAGGCAACATCTTTGACACCCTTGATTACGTACATTTTAGAAATACTAGAGGTAGATTTATATATTTGGGTATTTTTATTGATTTCAATGAAAACTGTACATGGACTCTGAAGGCACATTTGGGCATTCCAAAATGGAAGTTCATTGGTGAAACGCCAGTTAATTGACATTAACTGGCATTTTTCTAATGAACTTGCACTTTGGAAAGGCCAAATGCTGCCTTCAGAATGCACAAACTCAAAGCTCTTGCATCTTCTGCAAGAATGAAGACAATGGTGAAGTTGATTCGTATTATTTACAAAGCCCTCCTGTCTACCCCCTCCAAAATTATGCAAATACAACTATGCTAGTAAGGGTAGGGGGAACACCCCCCCCGAAATGGATGACATAAGTGCCAGTCATAACGTTGCCTTGCACTGCAAGTTGCCCCATACGTTTTCTGTCAGTTCTTAAGACTTGTTAGAAATACATTGAAAATGATGGCAATTGATACTCGGTCATAAACACTCTTGTGCCTTTATACTTAACCATGTATGTGCGAATAACAAATAAATCCTGTACAACACAAATCAGTTCTCTCAGACATGCTGTTGAATAATTGATTGATCAGATATGTTCATCATAGCAGGAAACATGTTAAGTATACCTCAAAAGACTGAAATGCGTTTATTAAATTTAAAACAACAAAAAACTGTATGTAGTCATTCATCAGATTGCAAAAACGTTTCCTAGTTTGAGATGTTATAACTTGTCTGTTACAAGCAATAATATCTTTCCATATACTGCTCAACTGTTACATTACTTCACAAGTGTCTATGATACAGCCCGCAGGGCCCTATTATCTGGCCCAATATGCTGCCCATGGATCTCAGACTGAACACACATGCCAATGCATTGCGCACTTACCTGGCCCCATAGGGCCAGCCTGGGAATGTACACTGAATGCAGCCTCACACCACTCACCCAGGACCTATGCCACTCATCTGGCCCAGAGGGTCTGATGGAGTTTGACACACCACATTACTTGATTAACCAAGCCTAGGCTTTTTTTCTCCCCTAGTCTCAATTTACACAGCAAGTCAAAATGTGTTAAGAACTGATGTGCAACTAACCAGGTAAAATGTAATTGGATAGATGCACAAAACTGTCCTGTGGAAAAGCATGCAAATAACCAAAATACACAATACAGTGGACTCTATTATTTATATGGCATAATTATCAATCTCAGAATAGTCTAAAAAAATTGAAGCCAACTTTTCCAGCAATTCAGAATGAACTAAAATTAAGATTGCAACTTCTGCTTTCAATATACATGACTATGGCCTAATTCTGCAAACAGATAAGCGCACACATCTTTTCAGGGGCAGGGTCTATGTTGTTAGATCAATTTCTTAAAATATAAAAATGAAATGCTCATTTAGACAGCATGGAAGGAAAAAAACAGGTTTAGTGGACTGCAGCATTAGGAAAATTCACCTCTCTCTTCAGTTCATCTTCTTCCTCCATGATATCATATACTTTCTCTAAAAGTTTCACTCCAAGTCCTCGCACCACATCAGATCTCAAGACTTCAACCATTCTCTTAATCTTTTTAGGACCAGATAAGGCATCTTTAAAAAAAAATGTAAAGTAGTTCATTTTAACACGCTCCTTTCCTACCAGGGGTTTGAATATGGGCTAATCAATACCAAGGAATCCATGGGGGAGGTAGTTTGGGATTGTGGAACAAGTATGTTAGCTGGGTGATCACCAGTAACACAGTAACCCTACTGGGGGAATATGGAGGTGCAAAGTCCACGTGAATCCAGTTTGCAGGATGAAGGCCTCAGAGCATAAAATAATGTGTGTCCTGCAGGTATGTTTGGAAGGTTCTCTCTGCAATCATAGTTAGAAAACATACTTTTGACAAAAAGGTAGCTTGGAGTAGCAGTTCCATATCAAAGGGTAGATCCTACAACTAAAATCCTACAACCACTTAAGTGCATTTCAATCATTTTACACTTAAAAAAGGAATTAAAAATTTAATAATTACTGTACTGAAAAAACAGCACTGGTAGCAATAATGCCATCCACCAACATACTTCAGGACATGAAGCATTAATATCAGTGTATGCTGGGGTACATTACACTAGGAGCCAGAGTACAGAGATGAGTAGCTATCTGGGTTGGCTGTTCACAGCAGATACTATCATATGGCCTTGCTACTAGATGAAGGCATGTAACAGCCTGTCTGGATTGAGCAAATGGCTGCTCCAGGATGGAAACAGATCTTACACACACAGGAGTAGTTTTACCCCTCATTTTTATCAAGGTAATTCTGTACCACATTAGATTACGTTACACTAGTGTAAGTATTTATGCCATCTGTTCACTTTTTATTTACACCAACATAAACTAGTCTTCCTTTCAAGCCTCAGTGGCCTTTCAACCTCCCTATGCCAGTAATTTTATGATACCGGAAGGTTTCCATTAGGAAATGAACCAAGAGCATGCTATGTCTTGACTTTGGCTATTGAAATAATCTAAAAATAACATTGTCACTACTGACACAAGCCAGATTTAAGGCAGTGATTTGTTTTCAGTGCCCTAAATTCCTTCATTAATGAACAAATGCAGATAAAAGATCTGATCGAGTCAAACGTGATTTTATTTTTAGTGTGAATTTCATTGATGTGTCAACCAAACATTCAATGGTAGTTTCTATTTACAAGGGGCCAGCAGTAAATTTCTGAGCCAGTGATATCACTGTTTTATAAATCTAAAAAGGTACAATTACGATGAAAAACAAAGCGGACCAAAAATGTCACTTTCAAGAGGCAACGATTTTTTAGTACTGTATCTTTTACTGAACCAACTGCATTGCTGGGATCAAACATCTTTATCAGTTTTTTTCTCATTTGATGTGAGCCAGCATAATATTGCAAACTGAGCTGAATTCTATTCTGGCTTTGCCCCTTACCAGAGAAAAGAGTTAAATGTGGAATTAAAAAACAATGAAAAACACTAGAATTAAGCATTTGTTTTGGTGAGGGGCAAAACAGTAGAATTCAACTTACTTTCCAATATTATGTTGGCTATTTAAAACATGCAAAACCAGGACAAGGAAAATTTAGATCAACAGACCTCAGGTTTAGCTTTTTCACTCATCCTTTGGCTTGTAAACTGATTTGATATTTGATATTTTGATATTATATGGAGTCAATCATACAACATCATTTCTAGTGTCACCTTTCAGAATATAACCACTCAGTAAGAGGTCTGAATTTGAAAGATGGCTTCTAGCTTTGCACTTGTCAATTCAGGTAAAAAGAACTGCTGCAAAAAAAAAAAATAACCCCATTTCTGTGATGAGATGCATAATGAACTTCTGCACCCACTTAAAGCCTTCAGGTTTAGATATTGGGTCTTACCCACGATCAAGAAGTTTTATGAAAAACTATTTTGACATTTAAAAACATACTGAAATCTTTAAACTTTGATTTTCGATTTTGAACAGTTCATTTTAAGAAGTCCATAGCCTGGCTCACAGGTTGATGAATAACACTCAGACCATCTCTCCCCTCTATTTACATTTGCAAAGATCACCTCACCTCCTGGCAGCTACAGCAATTGCTTACACAGAAAAGTACTGCTTTCAATGATATTTAACAGCTACAAGGAGAACCTGTACCAATGTAACCCAACAGCTTTCTGTGGACTACCAGTAAGTGCTCTGTTGACCAGTGATGGTCAATGGACCTTGTCAGAGCTATTCTTTTTTAAAGTATGAACAGAACTACTAACCTGAAGGAAACTCTTCAAATCTGAATTCCTCTGGTTCATTAGATGCTTTTCCACATAGGATAAGAGTGTCCCTGTATTTCTTTTGAAACTTGAATTCTGATTCAGGGGTTGGGATTAAGGGGTGTTCACAGTTCTCTTTAGAGTCCATTTTCAGGGTCCAAGTCATAAGCTGAACCAAATCATCCATTTCATTTGTATGTTTTTTTCTAGAACATAAAACAAGACCTAATTCAAGGCCCAGGTTTCAGTTCACAATTATTGTGAGCTTTCAGAAACTTGATATCTATAGGTAGGGATCTCTGTAAATCATGGAAAAAGTGCTCCCTGCAGCAAGCAGCTCCTTTAATTTTTTTCATTTTTGCCACTTGCCCCCCTTGGCCCTGATTGGCAGAGGGGCCCCACCAGCCAGGTCATTTTTGTTGATTGCCAGGGAAGGAAGAACTGACATTTTAAATACGCCATGGTTTTTGCTTCCTCTCTGGTCAGCAGCAAGTGGTGGGGCCACCGGTGCCCCTTCGTGGATCACCAGCAAGGAGGCAAAAGCTGTGGCATATTTAAAACCACAGTTTTTGATTCCCCAGTGATCAGCGTGGCTGACAGGGCTATCCACCTCTTGGGTGGCAGGGGGGGGGGAGGAGGAGGAGCAAGCAGTGGAATGAAAAAAAATTAAAGGAGCTGCTGTGAGGAGCACTTCCTCCGTGATTTAGAGATCCCTATCTATAGGTGCCATTATATTTGGGGAGGGGCGGGGGTGGGGGAGAACAGTTGTGGTTTTGGGGTTGTTTTTTTTTTTGATACACAGCTCCATTGGTAGGCACATTAGTTTAGACAGGGCATCAGTTTAATCTATCTGTTACTCTGACCTAGTCTAAACAACAGTGATTAACAATCAAGTCAGCCACATTAGCCTAATCTACACTGGTACTATGGTAAAAAAATGTAAAGAAAGATGTAAGGAAGTCAAGATTCTTGATAAACACTTCAATCTTGTTCCCATTTGAAGTGAAACCATGCTAGCACCTTTGAAACTAATAGTTGCTTTCATACTGGTAAATGGATTTCATAGTAAACCATTTGCAATGCCCTTGGTTTCAGCGAATTACACACACACCAATAAGTTAAGCAGGGTAGGTTGAAAATAATTGAGTCAGAGACGCCAATGATCAAATGTTCAAAAGGGATTTGATTCAGGATGTATGCATCAAATATGAGAATGCATTTCTAGTTTTCCACATCAAATCAAAGCAGTATAAAGTACTAGATATTGCAGACAAATGACTACTGAATGACTATAGGCAGAGAAGACAGTTACCCTGCTTTGAAATCTCCATCCGACTTATCTGTGGAGCTTGTGGAAGAGCTCATCTCATCATCAGATAGGCAATGGGTTGTTTTTTTTTTCTATCATAGACAAGATAAAACAAATAAATTACTTTGTAAAATTACAATCAGACCAACATGACTATTGCCTAGATCCCTGAAATATGGAAGATACTGCATTTTGCCATTTGAAATAGAATCTTCAAAATGTGAAGAAGAGGAAAAAAGCCAAATTCCAACAACCAGGACTAATTTTTAACATTGATTTTGTGCCCCTCTTCCCCCCACCTGGCTGACATCTTATACCTAGAAGTAAACAACCTCCTTTTGTTCCCTGCAACCCTCTTAAATTTGCATTCCTGAAGAACAGCTTTCTAAAGACTGGCTTTTTTCACACGCAAAGGATTTCTGACCATTTTTTATATCTCTCACCATGTTTTATTTCTTTTTTTTGGCCTGAGGAAGGACGTGTGTGTCAGAAACCTTGCAAATAAACTTTTTTGCAACTATTTAGTTGGTCTAATAAAAGATATTGCCTCTACCCAAAGACTTCACCTGCCTTTTGTGCTCAGACCAAACACAGCTAATGCCTAGATCTTTTGTAGAATTAAGTAATCAGTTAAACTAGGTTGTATCAAAGCAGTTGTACAATAACACATGGGTTCTTTGAATTAAGGAAAAAAACAATTTTCATCAAGTATAACTTACTAAATAAGAGTTAACTGGGTAAGTAAATTGTAATGGACGTTTACAGGTTAAGACCAAGAGTTGTTAATAGGTTTGTCAAAGCACATACACCTGCTAATTTAATTAGCATATTAAAACTCACTTCTATTTAAAATGGAATGATTCATTAAGTATTTTACACAGCCTCTGTTTCAAGTTCTGTAATTTGGGCGTATTGATAAATTCTCAGGCAATGAATTTTAAACTACATTATAAGAGCAATTATTGTTGGACTACAAGGTATCAATCTTTACAGAAATATTTTTATTCTGTTCAGTAACTTCAGTATTCCCTAACATTTTCTAGGTGGCTTCAACCTAAATTTTACATACGCATCTCCACAATTCAGTGAGTTCAATTTTTAGTACAACATGCAAAAAACTGCATCACATTAGCATATTTATATATATGCGCCATAAGCAAAATCTAATTTTCCTTGATTTGCAAGTACAGAGGTTTTTTCAAGCTACGTGTTATTGACATTGTAAAGTTTAAAATTTAACAATTATTACTTTTTTGTCAGCACATAACCATACACATTTTGCCAAAAGCATGATCAACTTCGGGTGTGCCCTTTCAAATGATAGATTTTTCATTCTATACCTAATTTTTTTACTTTCTTCACTTGTGGGATTTTTTTTTCTCCTTTTTTTTTTAAATGTAGTTTTGGCAAAATGAGTTTCAGACAAAATCAGGAAGTAGCCCAATCTAAATGCATGAACGAACAAAGCTATTTTTTGCAACTAATAGAATGAAACTGAAGTCCCATTTATCTACATTCAAAGCATATCCCAGAAAGAGGCAGCACATGCTTCCATCATGTTGCTCTCCAGTTGAACTTTACCAACTCCATCTTTGTGCCCGTTCAATCCTTAATTTCTGATGCATAAGGGTGAAAATGTGTCAGTTGTGATTGGCTAAATCAGTTTAATTCTGCTGTCAAATATGAGGTAAGCGATTGGCAGCAACTGTAACTCATAACTTTTTGGGAGGCAACAGCTTCAGAATAGCTGTGTAGTTTTATTGGCTATGTGCTCTCTACAGTAAATAATTTTTGTGTTACAAGTTCCTCAGTTCATTTTGATTCTCACACAGGCCTGTATTTAAATATTTAAAAAGCAGATGACCCCAGTTTACCTGAGAAATACTGGACTCTGTTGAGGACTGAGAAACTTTAATACGATTTTCCACATGTAATTTTGCTTCAGCAACTGCATTATGTGATGTTCGTTTTGCATCAGACACTGAAAGAATGACAAACTTTTTAACAGTATTTATTTGTTTACATTTATTTTGAATTAATTCCATGGCTCATGAAAGGAAAAGCTAAAACCTGGCAGAACATAGCACTGGGAAGTAGAGTAATCTGTTTTTCTAAACAGAAGACAACACTTCTAGCTGAAAAATGCATTTCCTCTTCTTCCCACATATTTCAGATACAAGTTGCCACCATGCATAATACAGAATGAGCCTTAGAAAAATAGTTATATTAAATAAAAGCTCCTATTAACACTAAAAGTACATCTTAAGGAATCGCTTGGGGGGAAAATATACTAAAAAGCAGACTGTAGTTCTCCACAGAGAAGGCATAAGGCTCTGCATGTAAAAGAGTCAACATGCAAATACAAGTTACCAGAAGGAAACATCTCTTCCTGTGACTGTTTTAGTCTCCTCCTCTCTCTTGCTGACAGGGGTCGATCCTTTAAAATAAATCAAATGAACATTAACGTGGTAATCACAGTGTTTTTTGCAGTTCGCAGCATGTGAAACAAAAATCCTTCATCCTAATGCCTCTGGAAAAAGATGGCTATTAACTATGGCTCTCAACTTGTTTAGCATGGATTGTATTAATTTCCCCATAGTGTTCAATGAGCCCTGCATGAAAGGAGCCTCCAACAGCTTCTCATAACTGTTTCAGTTATGAGAGGGAATCTATCATTTAAAAAGGCAGAACTTCAGTCAGGGAGGACAGCTACAATTACGTCTTTCTTCCCTTACCTCACTATGCACGTGGTTGTGGAGAAAACTGCTCAGAAGAAAACAACAAAACTTGCAAATAAAATGTTTAGTACCAACCTCTGAAATTAACATCTGACTGTTTTTAATGCTATTTACAGAATCTGAGACTTCAGCAACATGTTGATTTGCATGGCTTTGGGTAATCTTCACATCCACATCAGGTGGAGAAGGCAGAGGCTGAGAAGCAATTGCACTGAACTTAGAGAGAAACAGTACATGGTCACAGTCTTCTCTCTCAACAAATTAAAAAAAATCTATGAAATCTGGAAGTAGAAGCACAAGTCTGTGAGGAAAGTACTAAATCCAGTCTCTTGGGTTTCATTCCAGGTTCTATCAGAGGACACAAAATGAAGTGAATACATTTTCAACTCCATCCCTGTCCCTTGTTCTTTATCTACTTTAATATCCTCCCACCTCCCTCTTTGGCCATGTTTAGTTAATACCCATTCAAAAGAACAAAAATACATTTACCAAAGTCAATAGTTCCACATTTTGTTATGAATGCACTTATATGAACATTTAGGAAATTAGATTATTCATGAACCATGTTCTATTTTAAACATGTTCTTTTTGAAAGGGTCTAAAAAGCATTATACATGTTAGAGGATAGGAAGAGGCTAAAAAAGCAGAATGCTGTCAATTTTAAGCTACTTTTATTCACTTGCACCTTTTCCGAACAAATGTCAGCTAGTTCCTTTTTCTTCTTTCGTCGCTGCCGTGAGAGGGAGGGTTCACTGGCAGAACTATGAGGCTTTAAGTGAGAAGTGATTTTTTCCTGAGCTCCTCCTGGTTTTCCATGAACAGCTTCATCCTAAGAAGCAGAACCCCCCACCCCCGAGTGTTTAACATGTATTTTTCTACTTCTAACATACACACAACTTTTACAAGTCTCTATATCATCATTCAATTTTAGCATTTAAGCCACAAAATAAAAGTATGTTAACAAAGTGTGAGATCTGTTACAATGAAGAGGATTTCTGAATCACTATTAGGACAGTGGAACCAGAACACACTGGTAAACCTACTCCACAAATCAAATACTATATGGGAAAAGTGGGTGGGCTGGGGTGGGGGGGCACAGCTCATTGTGGGGTGTAGTGGCTCACCAGGAACAATATTTGGGATTCCTTTTAAAGAAGTACTATTCATTTTAGGTCAAAGAACCAGCCAAAATTAATGCTTGAAAACTCACCTGAAATATGATAGGTACAAAAGGTGCCATCAACTTCTCAGTATAATCCAAACTCTGAAAAATAATTGGCAGTGTTGGAGTGATGTTGTAGCTTTGATAGTCCAAAAAACAGGGGAGACGCAGGGATTTTTTTTTGTGTGTGATATCTATATAGCAACTAACCATGCAATTGATCCAATAAATCACCCACTAAAATCTTTGCCTCTTAAAAACGGACTGAATTTTGTTTAGACTAAAGCAGATCAATTGTAAAAGTGTTAAGTATTAGTAATGCAATTTGTCTCATGAAAAAAAGTTGATAAAAAAAATCTATCATCAATTAAATATAACAATGTTCTTTAGTGTGTGACTAGATAGAACTGAAGGCTACACAGCCAGGAGACCAGATTTTTTACATTGAAATCCAAGGCAAGTGTAACAGGAAACTCAGTTATGCTTTAATATACTTTTTTAAAGAGCCCAAGTGTTTGACACCAGAGGACTGCAAGGCCAGTGACTCCCCCTAGTTCTTTCACTTGGTAGAATGTGTTAAAGGAGTGCAGGGAATAGGACACTGGCCTGTATGTCTGTGATCATTAACCACCTAAGACAGGAAAAAACCTGGGAAGGAGGCTGGGCCATGACATTTCTTTACAGGGACTGATTCTCCAGAATACTTCTCCACCCACCACCCAACGTATTTTTCTTTAAGAGCCTCGCTTCTTTTCTGTTCATTACTTCCCTCTTTCCTCTTAATAAAGTCTCTTATCTCCATTAAGCAGTTTCCCTTTTCCCTTGCTCTAACTTTATATTTCCTTTTCATCTTTCTCTTAATTTTTTCTACTTCCCTTCAGTCTTTCCCACTCTTTTACTTTCCTTCCCTATCTTTCATCTTCTTTAATCAGTTTTCTGCTAAGCTGTCCTTCCTTTCTCTCTCTCTCTAACATACAAATAAGGGGTGAATATGGCCAAGAGGGAAGTATATCCTGCTTCAAATATCTCCAAAAAGTTCTTACCTCATCACTTCATAGCAGGAGTAGAAAGAAATTTGCTTCTAGGCAAGAACAACAAATTTGAACCATTAAGGTATGTGGGTGCAATGCTACAGAGCTACTAGGGCTCCTAACTGCTTAAAGTACCTCAAGACCTCGATCTGTAGTGCCCTGCCATGTTAGATTCATAGACTGTTAGGGGCTGGAAGGGACCTCGCAGATCATCAGGTCCAGCCCCCCTGCTCGAAGCAGAAAGACAACCGGGGTCAAGTGACCTCATCGAGGTGACTGTCCAGTCTCCTCTTGAAAACCACCAGGGTAGGTGACTGCTCCACCTCTGGAGGGAGTTTATTCCAGTCTGGACAACCTGACTGCGAAGGAGTTTTTCCTGGTATTAAGCCTGAAGCGACCTTCCAGGAGTTTGTATATCCATTGGTCCTGGTCTTCCCCAGGGGTGCCCTGGTGACCAGTTGTTCACTGAGCTCCTGATGCACTACTCTGATATAGCAGTAAGCCGCTATCAAGTCCCCTCTCAACCTTCTCTTCTTTAGGTTAAAGAGGCCCAGGTCCCTCAGCCTTTCCTCGTATGGCTTACCTTGCAAGTCCATGATTATACAGGTGGCTCTTTCTGGACCCCCTCAAGTTTTTCCATGTCCTTATTGAAGTGCCTGAGGTGGCACTTATGTGCAGCAGATTTGTACTGCTTTCTAAAACCCCCCCGATGTCCAACAATTACACTTTGAAAACATTTGTCTAAGCCTTAAAAAAATTACCTTGTCAATTTGCTTTTGGTCTCCTGAGATGGTTTGCATGAGCTTCAGAGTATTGTGACTCTCATCTATGACTCCAACAGGTAACTTTTTAGGATCCCCACTTTCAGCTTCCAAACCTGGGTTTATGTTTTGTTGCAGTCCACTGTCCTCCATCTGTGGGCCACTAGGTTTTACTTTAATTCCTGCATCACTAGGAATACTTAAATTGCCCATTTTATTATCTTGCACTGAACAGTCATTCTTACAGTTCCTTGTTTCAGACAGCAAAATATCAATATCCACTTTGCTCACTGTTGCTATGGAAGCTCTTTTGTTGTTCATCTCATTTTTTATTGGTTTTTTTTCAGGCTCGGATGCTGTTTTCTCTGAGTGACAAATGTCAACAGCTTTATCTTTGATTAAATACTTTTCTTCATTCTATAATTAGAAAAAAAAAAGAGTAATTACCCTCTCAGTTATTTCCATAACAGATTTATCAGAAATGTTCTAGGCATCTAAACTAGTCACAAATGTGTTAAATAATACAAAAGTTGTAATGAAAATTATTACGTACCATTTTAAGCTTTAATACAGCATGTAATAGGACACTGGTCCCGGGTCCTGTTATGGTCCGTGAATGCTAGCCAGACTGGAGCTCACTCAGAGACTTACCTGGGGACTTTTGCACTGTCACTGCCTGGATGCTGGCAGGGGCTGATCTGGGTGGCAGGCAAATACGTGCAGCAAAAGCCAGCTCCCATTGGCTCCTGGGAGTTCCACCAGAGTTTCAAAGGGGTGGCTGCCACACTTGCTCATCCTTGGAGAGAGGAAGGCATGGGAAGTTCAAGTACTGTGTAAGCTGGAGCCAGAGCTGAACCCAGAGCTGGTGCCAAGGCCGGGGCTAGAGCTGGGGCCAGGAAGTCTTACTACCAAGTGATTGAGATGAGACCAGTGAAGACGGTAAGCTTTCCCCAGAAGATAGGTGAATGAACTGATAAGCTGGCAGGCTATAAAATTATTGATAAGGTATAAGAGGATCATCAATTGAGTTAAGGGAATGGACTATTAAAATGTTGAATTATAAGGATCGTTGATTAAGTTGATAAGCCGGTGAGCAGTAAACTAATCATTCAAAGGTAAAGATGATAACTTATTGAATTAATAAACAGATATATGACAGATGATTAATTGAGGAATCATGGGATTTATAAAATTAAGAGCGATAAGCCAGGGAGAAAATCTTTGTCCTCGCGTCATACTGCTGATTTTGGATAACTCCTCATCTCCCTTTTTGCTTTTCACCTACTGAAATGTGAAAGTATGGCAGGCGAGTGGGAAGTGATCTAGAAGTGGAGGTGTGAGCCACTGAGACGTCCCTGGATGCACCCGCTTACAGTGGTGCATTGGCTGGGAAACTTAGAATGAGGCCAATCTTGGGAAAGAGAGCCATTTGATGAGATGGACATAAACCCACCAACAGGAACGGGGGGGGTCCACCAGAATTGGCAACAAGCCTGAGGACTAGTGATACAGTTGTTTTATGGACAGCAAACACAAATGGAGGAGCTGGTGAGCGTACGGTCCCAGGAGGCTGAGGCCCGCATCATGCTATTGAATAGACAACAGGAGCTGAACGGAGGAAAAAAAAAAGAGGCACAACAAGCCACGGTGATCTGGGCCACCAAAGGGGTCAGAGTACCAAAGATGATGGCAGACAATGATGTTGAAGCATACTTAAGAGACCTTCAAGAGAGTCACACTGGCTGCTGGTTGGGACTAAAACCGGTGGGCCAATCAGTTAGGCCCAGCTCAGGCAGCTTATAGGGACCTGTCCAGAGCCTAGGTGAATGACTATCAAGTAAAGAATGCCATATTGTACCAACTTAAGAGCGCACCAGAATGTTATTAACAACGGTTGTGTGTCAAGAAGCAATGGGAAGACAAATGGCCAAGGATACTGGCCCAGGCACTGAGGGATTTAATTGAGAGATGGGTTCAACCAGAGGGGAAGACTGTGCCAGAGGTGTTGAACCTATTCCCCCTAAAGCAATTCCTTGCTGATTTGGAGGGCATACAAAAGTGGATCTGGAAGCAGCAGCCTCAGATGGTGGAAGAGGCTCTCCACCTCACTGAGGCTTTATGGGAGCTGAAGGGGAGGCTTATTGGGAGACCAAGAGACAGGACCTGGCATCCAGAAAACTGGAAATGCCTCTAAACCAGTTCCATCCGTTTAGAGGCTTGGGGACCTGAGAAATTGTGTACTATTGATGCAGAGGCCTTGGGCATATGGCCCGTAACTGTCCATGGAAAATACAAGAAGGATGCCCCTGGAAAGGACTACACCACAGCCAGGGTGAAAAATCCCCAAAGAGTCCATACAAAGAAATAATGGATTGCAGCTTTGGCCGGCAAATGGGACCAACCAGAGTACCAAGACCAATGGTTGATGCTAAATTAGGAGACCTAATAATACTTCCTGTGGTGGATTCTGGGTGTGCACAGGCTACAATAAAGGATGAATTGCTGCCCCTGTGGCAGGCCAGTAGGGGGTGCTCCTGCATTTAGCCACCTACCTCACTGCACCTGACCACCTTCCAGGCTCTGAGTGCTTCCCTGGGGGCGCCTCACATCTGGCTGACCCCCTTCCTGAAGCACATCCGCAAGCCTGGGGGTAACACCACCACCACCCAGGGTCTGGACTGATCTTGGCCCTGTGCTCCCTGGGAAACACAGGCCTAATAGTCCTTGAGGGGTACTTGACCCACTGCAAGAACTTGGGGTGCTTCCCACAGTCTGAATTACAAATAGTAGTCTCCCTTAGTTAGCTGAACCAAGGGGACCCCCAAGGCATAATCTAGACCCTCTCCCAATAAGTCTTCCACACTAGGTACAGAGGAGAACTTTACTGGTTACAAGGAGTAGGTTTGAAACAGGGTACAGGGTAGAGCAGTGTCAGAGAAATACATTAGAGCAAACAGTGGCATGGTAGCCTTTGACCACACATCCGAGTTACTGCAAGCTATATATCTAGTTAGATCTCAAGTGGCCTACTCACAAGTATCATCCAGAAGCAGGTGGAGATTGCCTCTGGAGGCAAGCAGATCATTGATCATAAGTTTTGAGAGAGAGAGAGAGTTTCAGATGGTCCAGGTTCTCTGAGAGTTTTCATCATGACTGCTGCCCCACTTCCTGGGCAGTCCTTAACTTATATAGACTGTATGACCTCACTTACCTAATCCAATGAAGGCCAGCAGTTGTTGGCTGCCAGCCAACCAATTTGAAATGCATCACTGGTTGCCAGATAGACTGGCAGCGTCTCTAGCCACCTCCCAGTCATGATGACATTGCTTAGAATAATAGGGAGTTTAAGCCCCCACCCAAGTGTGTGAGGCCAGTCATGCAGGCAGAGGAAGCAGGTTTCTCCCTCACTCAAGAATGTATCCAGCTCAGGTTACAACTCAGGGTTACCTGAAGCTGATGGGGCCAGGGGTGTCTGCCCTCTGCAATGACCATGGTAACCAAATTATCAGATTGATCATTCGCCTGAATATAGAGTTTGGGGAGAGACAGAGATGGCATTCTGCCACAGCCTCCACAGATGGGTAAAGAAGATACCATGGTCAGCATGGTATGCATGCACAGGGCAACTTACACATACTGCCCCCCCCACCCTCTCCAGTGGGTAATGTCTACTGTAATGGGCAAAATGGAAAAAGTAGCAGTGGGTTTAGCACAGAGGCTGCTGTGCCCCATGTTTTTGGGGCAGGACTAGCCTTACTTTCACAAGGTGATAGATCAAGCCCTGGAGCACAGGGCTGTGCATATATGGAAGAAGACAATCCAGGAGACCCAGGAAGAGGGCCTGACTGGGGATGAACCAGCCTCTGGGATAGAGGAAAAGCAGCAACAGGAGAGGTTAATGCAGAGGGTCAATTCTGGGATGAACAAGCCAGAGAATCCACTTTTTGCCATGTTTACAAGATGGGGATAGTGAAGCAAGACAGGGAGGCACTGTGCACAGAACTGATGGCGACTTATCAGTACTTTGAGCTAAGACCTGATATGCTTCATTGGAACAGAGGTGCACAGGTGCTGGCGCCCCAGATGTACAGAGAAGCCCTATTGCACATTGCTCACGTACTCATGCGGCTGGGCGGGGGGCGGTATTTGGGTAGAGATTAAGATGGAGTCCCGTTTAATGCAGCGGGTATATTGGCCCAGCATACACAAGAAGGTGGAACACTTCTGCTGAGCATGCCCAGCTTTTCAGCTGGCCTCAGATGTTACCCCCTCTAGGGCTCCATTGATGTCCCTGCTGGCTGTAGGGAATCGGGTAGGGTTTTTCCATCCTCCCATCCCCATATAGCCAAGCCAGGAAGGAGCTAAGCTCCTGAGCCATATGAACAGGCCAAGCAAACAGGTGTGCTCTTTAGGGGAGCGCCAGAGTTTGCACAAGAGGGGCCTGAACTCTAAGAGGAGGCAGCATCGGACAGAGACTTCAGGTGAATGAAAAAGGAGTCTTTCAATGGGAGTTATGGCACGGCGTGCAGCCAGAGACACTGCTCCGATGCCACCTCCCACCCGGGGCTCCTCTGAGGCCTCCACCCACATGGGGCCCTTGGATGGGTCAGTGGTGCCCTGGCCCCCTGTCTGCAGGGGTTGCCTGACAGTACCTCTGGGGCCTGGTGGCAGTGGGGGTCCCAGGAGTCCCCTCACCTGTCCCAGGTGTGCCCTGCTTGAGACCCTGGAGGGGCAGGTGAGAGAACTCCAGGCAGAGGTTAGCAGGCTGCAGGGGATCAGGGCTGCAGAGGATGAGATTGATAGGTACTTTCATACTTTGCAGGATCAGACATCTGATGGAGAGACAACACATGAGGGACCTGATGCAGATGAATGGAAGATGGTCACCTCTAGAGCCAGACATCGTGCTGCTGAGACAGCTTTCCCAGTGCAACTGGGGAATAGATAGAAGGCTCTGGCAGCACTGGAGGAGAGTGCAGTAGAGGAAGCCACAGCCACCACCATGCAGGCTGAGGGTCAGACTCAATGATCTACTGAGGTCCCTTCCGACTAAAACATCTATGAATCTATGAATCAGGAGGATGAGCTGGACCTGGAATTCTCTAAGACAATTCTCAGAGGCTGTATCGATAAGGGACATGGTTGTCATGGGTGACCTAAACTATCCTGACATCTGCTGGGAGAAGCAGTCAGCTAGATTCAACCATTCATGTAGGTTCTTAACTTGCATACAGGACCTTCACCTAACACAGGAGGTATACGGTCCCAATACGGGAAACACCTTACTGGACTTGGTGATGGTTACAGGGGATGCTGGTGGGAGATCTACAGACACAAGGTAACTAGGGAACAGTGACCATCAATTGACTGAAATCACTATCTGGCACAGGGTGGAAAAGATAACCAGTAGGGCAGAA